TCTAAAAAAAGGCACCAAACACAGACCATCCCAGTAGTGGGGAATGCACCCAGGGCCTTTGCACTGAGGTAAATACCTATTCTCATTTATTTATTTGGTACCAGGGATTGAACCTGGGACCTTGCGCTTGCGAGGCAGGGGGAGGAACCACTGAGCTAAATCCCCGGCCCTCTTTTATTTTTAATTTCTTAAGATAGGGTCTCACTATGTAGTTCAGGCTGAGCTTGAACTCACTTATGTAGCCCAGGGTGGTCTCAAATTCATGGTGATCCTCACGCAGGCTACCAAGTGCTGGAATTTCAGGTGTGCCACCAAGCCAAGCTCCTAATTCCTTTATTTAAAAAAAAATTTTTTTTTTTTTTGGTACCAGGAATCGAACTTGGGACCTTGTGCTTGCAAGGCAGACAGTGGAACCACTGAGCTAAATCCCCGGCCCTTTAAAAATATTTTTGACAGGGCCAGGGATTTAGCTCAGTGGTTCTGTTGCCTGCTTCGCAAGCACAAGGACCCGAGTTCGATCCCTGGTACCAAAAACAAAAAATTAAAAAAATATATATATATATTTTTGACAGTGACTAAGTTACTACATTGCCCAGGCTGGGCTTGAAGTTGGGATCCTCCTGCCTTAGCCTCCCAAAGTGCTTGAATTACAGGCCTGTGCCACCGCACTTAGCTGCAGATGTTTTTATGAATGAGGCCTATCAAATTCTGAAGAAACAAACTTCTGTTCTATAAACAGCCTGAAGATTAAACTTCTACAAGGCTAGCATAATGATGTTATCAAAATAGAACTAGGAGCTTGCTTATTTATTTAGAGACAGGGACTTATGAATTCCAGGCTGCCCTTGGTATCGAAGCCATCCTCCTGTCTTAGCCTTCCCAGTGCTGGGATCACAGGCATTTGCCATCACACCTGGCAAGGAGCTCACTGAAAGAAAGAAAATTTAAAAAGTAAAACTGACCCAGGGACATAATATCCTAAATAAATAAATAAATAAACAATACACTGCAAAATTAGGCAGTTTGTATCAGAATCCAAGATTAATTCAAAATTAGGAAATCTATTAATGTAATTGAATTCAGTAATAAAATAAAATCATGTGATTATCTCAATTGATGTCAAAATGTGTCACTGTTTAATAAAGAAGGGAAAAAAAAAAACCTTAGTAAATTAGGAAGAATGAATCTTCAGCTCAGTGGAGGTTACCTACTAGAAACCTAAAGCAAGAATACCATTTCAAGCTGGGAATAATGGCACATGCTTGTAATCCCAGCACTCTGGGAGGCTGAGGCAGGAAGATCACAAGTTTGAGTCCAGCCTGGGAAACTCAGTAACAGCAAGATCCTGTCTCAAAATGTAAAATAAAAATAAAAATTGGGGATGTTGCTTAGTATGAAGGCCCTGGATTCACTCCCCAGTACTATCACCAAAAAAAATCCTATTTCATGATGGAATCAATCCCAGTAACAGGAGCAATCGAAGGTGTCTGTCATTCAACATTAGATTGGAGGTCCTGGCCTCTGTGAGTCATAAGAAAAAGAAATGAGTATAAAGGATGAAATGAGGACAAGATAAAGAATGCCACAGTAAGGGCCGGGGATTTAGCTCAATGGTGCTGCCGCCTGCCTTGCAAGCAAAAGGGCCTGAGTTCAATCCCTGGTACAAAAAAAAAAAAAAGAATGCCAGTAGTAGGATATGATTTGGCTATACAGAAACCCCAAAAAGTCAACTGAAGAACTTAGAACTCATTAGAGTTCAAGCAGATTGATGACAGGAGCAACACAAACATTCTATACCAGTGATGGTTAGAAATGGCGTTGATAAAGATCACATTCATAACAAGTAATAGGGAATGTGTAACAAAGAACAAGGAATTTTATAGAGTTCCTAAGACTAAATTAATTTAGAAATGTGGCCAGGCATGGTGGTGCATGTCTGTAATCCCAGAACTCGAGCGGCTAAGGCAGGAGGATCACTGCAAGTTCAAGGCCAGCCTGGGCTACACAGTGAGTTTGAGACCAGCCTGAACTGCACAGCGAGATCCTGTCTCAAAAAAAATAAAAAACTGAGGGCCGCGGATGTGGCTCAGTGGCACAGCACCTGCCTGACAAGTGCAAGGTCCTGAGTTCCATCCCTGGCAACCCCCCCCCACCAAAAAGTGAAAGTCCCATATGGAGACACACACACACACACACACACACACACGCACGCACACACACACCCCAACCTCAATCCTGGGTAGGAAAATTCAAAACTCTCAAGGCCCCACTTCTTCCCAAATCAAACTGCCAAGGAAAATCCAGCTGGACTTTTTTTTTGAGGCAGGGTCTCCCTTTGTAATTCAGGCTGGCCCTGAACTATGTAGCCCAGGGTGGCCTTGAACCTGAGGCAATCCTCCTCCCTCAGCCTCCCAAGTGCTGGGATTACAGGTGTGAGCCACCACGCCCAGCTCCAGCTGGACTTTTAAGTGAAAATGGATAAGCTTATTCTAAAGTTGTTATATAAGAGACAATATGAAATGGTCGAGGAATGAGGGGTTGGGTGGCCATCTACCAGGTAGCCAGCATACTACATCCTACAGGCACATGGATTAATATGACAGATTAAAATTGCAAAAAGGGGCCCATATAAATGGATGACTTTATTTTTAAAAAGGTACTTTCAATGAGAAAATGAACCATTCCATAAAAGGTATATAGAGACAAGTGGCTCTAAGAAAAAAATGCCTTCTACCTCCCATAAAAAACAAACTTCAGATAAGTTAAAGATAGACTCACACAGGGGCCGGGGATTTAGCTCAGTGGTTTCGCCGCTTGCTGCGCAAGTGCAAGGACCCGAGTTCGATCCCCTTAACTCATCTGCTTTATTATCTGCATACACACATATTTTATATTATATACACACGTGCACCTAAAGCTGCTCTAAGCAAACATAAAGTGCCCGAGGATCAAATACATGAAGCTAGAGCTGGAGAGGATGTGGGGACCAGTACAGGTTTTTCTGATTACTACAGAATAGAAGATTCTTCAGCAAGGTTTGATGCTGACACCTCCAATAGTGACCAAAAAACCCTTCAAGCCAAGTAACCAAAGGAAACCAAAGCCACAACGAAGTCCTTAAGAAAGCGAGAGGCTCTAACATGCAAGTTTCACTGGCTTATAATGGGAGGTGGAAGACAAGACAGGTGAGCACATATGCAGATGCACAATGAGGAGTCTTTCCCCCATGGCTCCTGCTTCTCAACTGAAGCGCTGCTGCAGCTAAGCAGCCACCGTGGGAAGGGGAGGTGATACCCGAGGAATCCTGCTGGGTGGTGCCAAGTGTCCACCTGAGGGCTGGAGTGAAGAATTCATGTACAAATGGGGGCTGCTGTCCCACCTCCTAATTGTGCCTTGGGTTCAGGCACAGGAGTGAATGATCAAGTTCATCCAGGATGAGGGGACAGAATAGAATGACGGTGAAGCCCACGGGGATGATGCGGGACCAGCAAGGAAGTGAGAGCAGAAGGCTAATGGTGAGAATGTCAGGTCTGGAGGATGAGGATAAAGAATTTTTAAACCAGGTGTGGTGGAGCTTGCCTATAATCCCAGCCACTCAGGAGGCTAAGAAAGGAGGATCACAGGTAGAGGCCAGTCTGGGCACCTTAACAAGACCTTGTCTCAAAATACAAAGAATTTTTGCAGAGGGTAAATGGATAAGAAACCCAGGAGGTGGCAAATGTATAGGTATCTAAATTCAAAAGGTGCTATATAATTCTTGCAATGTCAGGGGTCCAGGGAGTGAGTAGGGCATAAACAGCAGGCTGGAGTAGAAGGCAGAGGTGTACATTCTGGAGATATCAAGGGACCAGAGGCTACAGTGTTGTCAGCTCCATTGGAAGATGTAAAAAACCACCCAAGAGGGAAGAACACTAAGCCAGGTGGTAAACTCACCAATGACAGATCAGTGATTAGGTCAATGTTAGCAACAACAAGGACAGTGCAGACCTAGACACAAAAGCTTCCAGGAAATGAGATGAAATGATTTTTAGGTGGGCAAGTAATTGGGAGGCAGAGGCAAGAGAACACCTAGAGTTCAGACATTTGAGCCTAGCCTGAGCAAAAGTGACCCATCCCCAAAACAAAAACAAAAAAAGTAACAACAGAAAGCACTGAGGGCAGTGGGGAGTGATGATAGGAAGAGCCACAAGGAGGCCACCAACCCTACCTACTTTGCCCTCAGGCACAAAGGATGCAGCCTCTTACTTTTTTTAGTGTTTCCAAGACAGGGTTTAGCTATGCAGTTCAGGCTGGCCTCAAATTCACTATGTAGCTCAGGCTGGCCTCAAACTCTTGGTGATTCTGTCTCAGCCTCCGGAGCACTGGGATTACAGGCACGCACTACCACAACCAGCAGCAGCTAATCAGTGTTCTCAGGAAATGATAATCCAGTTCCAAATAAAGCAGATGGTATAGGTATCATGTTTGCAGACTACAAAGTACACATTCTGGAGGTAAAAGATGTTTAAGGGTGAAAGAAGGGTAAGGTCCAGCCAGTGGATATAGGGCAGCAAGTGCTGGGCACTCCTGGTAAGGAAGACTGGGAAAGGCTGGGGAAGTGGCTCATGAAGCACCATGGGTTTTGTCCTGAGCAGCTCTTGAGAGGTGGGTACTAGGCCCTATGCTGCATCCCTGAATGCTTGAATTGTTTTTTTTTGGTACTGGGGATCAAACTCAGGACCTCGCACTTGAGAGGCAGGCGTGCTGCCACTGAGCTAAATGCCCAGCCCTGAATGCTTGAATTGGAATTAAGCAGGCAATGAAGTGGGGCAGCTCCTAGCTGTTAAACAGGTACAAGGAGAATAGCACAGGGCCTGGCACTAAGTGCCCAATAAGAGAGCGAGCATGTGAGCTAACCACTTGCCCATCCCCATTTCCCTCCCATTCTGCCCACTGGTCCCCAAAGAGCAGCAGGTTTTATGTCACAAGTCTCCCTCTCCCAGAGAGCCACTCACACACCATACAAGTCACCACCCACCAGGGGTTTAATTCACCTAAGTCAGGACAGTTCAGGGAGGGGCTGTGCCTTGTCCCCATCCAAGAGTGCAGATCTGCAGGGCACCCTGGGACCAAGCCCAGGGGAGCCTGAGACTAGTCCATGAGCAAGCAGAGAAGTGGGTCTCAGGTCTCAAGCGGCCTCTTCCTCTTCACTTTCCTCCTCACTCTCATAATACTGCCTGCGGTTGGTGTTGACAAAGAGGTCAGAATCATCTTCAGAGCCAGACTCTTCTCCTGATGACTGTGGCTCAGCTGGGAGTTCTGGCTGAGTCTGTCTGCAAGTGGGAGGAGAAGAGAGTTAGCCCAACACCTCCTGAGATCTGAAAACCAGATGTGCAACCAAGGACACACACAGTAAACAGAAAATCTGACCTAAGAATATAACTAAGACTGTCCCTCACCACCAAAATTTGCCACAGGTTTTGGTTTCAATTAGTAATCATAACAATTCTCTACCACCAACCAACACAATGGGCTCACATTCCATAGGCAATGTTCCAAGTATTAGCTCCTTTACTCCTCACAAAGTTCTCGTTTTACAGATGAGGAAACTGAGTCTTAAGCTATTAGCTTGCTTAAAGTACCTCAGCTGAAAGTGGCAAAGCCAGGATTTTAATTAAGGACATCTTTAAGCCATACTCATAACCATCTATTCTACCATGGACTGAGGAGCTGTCATGAGGTATCTTACAAAGGGACAAAGGAAGCACCAAGATGTGGAGCCCTATTTTCTGTCTTCCCTGACCTGGGGCTTGCCCCTCACCTGTTCCTGTTGCTGCTGCCCTTCTCAGCCACTTCAGAAAAGGCCTCAGGCCTGTGTGAAGACAAGAACCAGGTCAGAGTGAACAGAGAACCTCTCAGCAAAACAACTGTTTCCAGCTGTCCCTGCCTGGGATGCCATGATCTCCCCTGCCCCCAATTCCCTACCTAAGAAGTCAGTACCCCCAGAAGCTAGAGTCCAAAATAAAGGGAACCGCCCTACCAGTACCCCTCCTTCTGCAGAGAGCGCACATGGTCCTTGCAAAGCACAAAGGAGATCTCAGCCTTCACCTTTTCTCCCTCTTCAATGGGGTCAACAATGAGAAAGTCTCCTGTAGGTGAGAAAAGGCAAACCCAGTACTGCTTGTGATGGGGAAAGCCACAGCAAGAGGAAATGGTTATGTCTCGTGGAGGGCTGCCTCTCTCACCTCTTTTGATCCAGATGTTTTTGCGGTATTTGGAGGGCATGCTTACCAGGAAGCGTTGCCCTTGGGCCGTCTCCACCTCATGCAGATTGTTCCCTGGGGTCCTGAGTACCTGGTCCAGGAGAGACCAAGACTCAGTCAGCCGCATCAGTCAGATCTTTCACCCGTGAGCTGCACTGCATCCTATCCCCACACTAGGAGTCCAACAGGAGTGAAGGGCTGGAAGGTGGGGTGGGGGGGTGGAAGCAGTTTGTGCCCAGTGCAACTCACCCTCACGATCTGCTGCCGGTCAGTGGGTACCATGTGCTCCCCTAGCACCTCCTTCACCACATGCTTCCTCTTGGTGGCCTGTGACATGCTGGGTCCAGCCACAGGATGGTTAGGGACACAGAAACTGTCAGCTCCTCCTGAATTTCTTGGATGGCTGTCTCAGAAGCCAGGACTATTTTGAAGACAGAGAAAGAAGTCATTTACTAAGAAATACTAAAGTTTACAAATATGGACTCTTAAGATCTTGCTGTCTGGATTCAGGATCTCTCTTGGGTGTTTTCCTTTTTAAGTACTGAGAATCAATCCCAAGGCCTTTGAACTGAGCAATATCCCCAGCCCTTTCTTGAGAAAGGATGTTGGTAAGATGCCCAGGCTGGGCTTCAGCTTGTGATCTTCCTGTCCCAGCCTTCCAGAGTGCTAGGATGACAGGCATGGGCCACCAAATCCAGCTTATTTCCTAACTCTAACTTCTCTGGACCCCAGAAAAAAACAATACCTAACACAGCAAGGCTATAAAAGAATGAAAAAACACTCAGGGTAATTGTGTCATATGAGATTAACCCCTGTTGTCAAAAGAGGGTAATTGTGTCATATGAGATTAACCCCTGTTGTCAAACCTACTGGTTACCATCAAACTATACACATTCTCCCAGAGAACTGATTCTGGCTGCCTCTCTGGAAAGAGTTTGAAAACTGTACCTTCTCAACATGCTTGTATATCCCAAATCTAGTAATGCCACACACCCTCAATCTTTTATTATGCTACAAAGACTAATTCGGTGACCACCACGACGATCCAAACTAGAAATGACTTAAAAAATCGAGGTATCCGGACTCAATCTGAAGCATATGCCATTATACGGATCCTCTGAAGAAGAGGGGCGGTACTACCGAGACGGAAAGTTTCCGAAGAAAACTCATATCATTTCCAGTTGCTGCCCCTGTCTCCCTCTCCCTCTACTCCAGAGGAAAGAGCCTCAGAGAAAGGCCCTCACTTACTCTCTCTGGCTCTCGGGTCCCACAGGCGCTGCCTGAACAATCTCTTTTTCCAGGCTGGAAACTGAGAGCGACTCGTCCACGACTCGCTTCAAGGCAAATCAACGAAACCACAGAAATGAAACCTGATGGTGGTCACAATGGCAGCGTCTGTTTAAACTCGGGTTTCTGGCGTTTTAGGTTGTCGCCTACCGGATCTCGAGGACGCCGGTCCGAATTGGACCAGGCGGACGCTTGTACTTCTGGCGCACTCTCCGAAGCCTTCCGGCCGCACTTCCCCCGCTGGTGTCCGTCCCTCTAACTCTTCCCACTGCCAGATCGGTCAAGCCTATTCCCTCGAGTTCCGGGCGCTGGCCGGCAGAGAATGGAAGTATTCTCGGAGGCTTCTCTTCCTCAGACTAAGTGCTGCCGAAGACGAGAGAATACAGAAGACAGCGCAGCTTTCCGAGGACGGCTGGAAAGGAACGGCAACTTGAGACGCCACTGAACTCCAGGGCGCCTCAACTGTATGGCCCTCAGTGGCTAGGAAATACCCAATTTGAATTTTTAAGGCGGGTCTTGAGGCGACCCGGAAGCGGAAGGTGAAGAAAGTTCCAGTGACTTCAGGCCTCAGCGGGAGCGTCCAGGTTTCGGGAGAATCCGTTAGGGGAGCTAAAGCTGCTGGTGAGTGTGAGCCGGGGATCCGAGTCCTGGCTAGAAACGGGAGCAGGCGCGGGGAGAAGGCGAAGAAAGAGGCCCTATGGTTGGAGCACACCAGAGGAAGCACCCTTGCCCAGAGCTCTGCTGCGCTGAGCGGAGGAACAGCGCGTGGGAGCCGCAGCGCGTGGAGGGGGCGGGGCGACGTGTGTTGAAGGCGGGGCGGCGTGTGTTTGAACTAGGGGTGGACCTTTCGGGGTTGCTGAGGCGCATGTGTGCGGCTGCCGAGGCGGGTGCGCTGGTCACCTGTGCTTCGCTTGGTGAATAGTCTGCAGGCACAAGAGGGGTCGAGACCTTTGGTTTTTGGTTGACTTATCATACCCCCTGGCTGTTCTGGACGACGTCAGTGTGGTGTTTTGTTTTTTTCTCCAGCCCTTGTCACAGAGGGAGTGACAGCCTCAGGGAGGGCCCTGTCTGCTGACCTTGGGAATCTTCCCACTGCCCTACGTGCGCCACCTGTTAGAGCAGGATAGTATTTCCACTGGGGCAGTACCGAAACCTAGTCACTAGGGGAGTGGAAGAGATTTCTCTTGCCCAGTAGTGGGGCAGACTCCCAGCCCGTTTTCTCATTTGTGAAATGAGAATAGAGTAAACTGCTATAGTGGCTGGTGTATCTTCCTCTTAATATGAGATTTTTCGGAGTTTCTGGTTTTCAGACCTAACCTGCTTTGTCTTGGGATTCCCAGGTTAAGCCTGATCAAGATGACAACGTCCCAAAAGCACCGAGACTTCGTGGCAGAGCCCATGGGGGAAAAGCCAGTGGGGAGCCTGGCTGGTATTGGTGAAGTCCTGGGCAAGAAGTTGGAAGAAAGAGGCTTTGACAAGGTGTGGGGTGGCTTTATGTGCCTGGGGAAACTACAGTATTTCAGGGCAGATTGAGAGGAAAATGAGTGTATGTAGGGGGTGGCTCTGGCCACTTGGTGGTGATGAGGTGGGGCAAAATCTGCCCTTGACAGATAAAAACTGGAATTTTGTGTTTAGAAATGCCACAAAAGTACTTGCTCTCCCGTCTTAGTACTAATCTGGCCCAAGCCTTTTTATCTTCCAAGATCTGGCACATTTTCAGGGTGGTGTGGCTGAAGATTACAGAGTATTTAGCAGCAGTACCTTTCCTTTACCTGTTTTGCAGGCCTATGTGGTCCTTGGCCAATTTCTGGTGCTAAAGAAAGATGAAGACCTCTTCCGGGAATGGCTGAAGGACACGTGTGGTGCCAACGCCAAGCAGTCACGGGACTGCTTTGGGTGCCTCCGGGAGTGGTGTGATGCCTTCTTGTGATGCTGTTCTGGGGAGCCCTCAATCCCCAGCCCCAGGGTCCGAGTCTCTAGAGTTCACAGCTGAGTGGACAAACCTCACTCGCCTCTACAAAGGAAAAGATTGCTGTTGTTGTACTCACCTCTCATGTATTCCAGGGTCTTTTGGGAGTTCTCTCCCCCACACCATTTCAACTTTTTTGGAAAACTCACTCTTGCATGCATCTCCCTTCTCCTTCCCTTGCCAGTTCCTTGGTGACAGTTACCAGCTTTCTTCAGTGGATTACCAGCCCCTTCCCTCACTTCCACTTCATCTCTGGTGTGTATGATGCCATTTGGCTCCCCCCTTTTTTTTTTTTTTTGGCAAAACAGTCACTGTTTTTAGATCAATAAAGTTAGTGGCCTTCATGACTAGATGTTGTGTTTTGAAAAATAAGTGGGGCTGGGAGTTGTCTTTTCTCCAGGGATGGACCATGTCTGCTGTACTCCTTATCAATGCAGACTGAAACTGGCAGCTTCCCACTCCCAGAGGGTAGCCGCCCTAGCCATGTGGGCCTTGGGCAGGTACCTTGGAATGACCCAGTCCCTGAATAATGTGGGAGAGTGTGGGTTGATCTCTTCCTGGGAGCCAGGTAGGCTGTGGTGTTCCTGATGTAAGTCAAGTCAACAGCTGGGCTAGGCAGTACCTGGTGGAAAAATGAGTGGGAGTTAAGAGGTACCAGGAAAAGGGTGGATTGGATGTGGGTAAGAGTTCACCTGCCATTCATCACATCATCTGCTTTCCTGCCCTCAGGGAGCTGTGATGGAATCTAGCTATCTTAGGAAGGGGTAAGGCATATGGGCATTCCAGGTAGGAAGGTTTGAGAGAGTTACACTTGAATTCAGTACATTTAGTCCTGTTCGTTCTTTTTTTTTTTCTTGGTACCTGGAATCATACTGAGGACCTCCTTGCGCTTGGCAGGCGGGTGCGGCACCACTGAACTACATCCCAGCCCTATTCCTGTTCTTTTTTGAATAGTTTAGTACAAATCAGCCCTGAAGCTAAAATCTTTACAAACTATTTTTCCTACTACAGTAATAAGCCATTATTTTTTTTGGTTTTTTGGGGGAGGTGGTTACTGGGGGTCGAACTCAGGACCTTGTGCTTTCGAGGCAGACAACGGAACCACTGAGCTAAATCCCTGGCCCCTAAGGGGGGTGGTTTTCAAGTTGAAGAAAATTGGGACTCAGGCTAATTTGCTATAGACTTGTTGAGAAGTAGCCAGAATGGAATTTGGAAACCCCTATATCTAGAAGACTATTCCTTGGTCATGTGTCTCAGCCTCTCTGAGCCTCAGTTTCCCCTCTTGGAAAATGAGGTTGCTGTATGGAACACATAAATTCTAGTACACCTCCCACCTGTACTTGAAATTCATCCCTTCAAAAGCATCATTGAGCAGTAACTTGCTTATAGTATAAACAAAACAGAATTTTCAACATAATGATTGCTGTTTGGGGAGGCAAGAGTGATATTAAAACAAGTATAAAAACGAGGATAATATAAAGAATAGTGACCTCAGGGTAGGAAGAATCAAGAGAAAGTTGGCAAATTTAACTGTATTATGTTAGAAATTTTATCTGAAATTGCAGCGTGAAGAGACAAAGACAGAATGGAAAAGGATAGTTGCACAGTGTTAACAAAGGACCATAACTAGAGCACATGAAGAACTGCAGTCAAGAAAAAGGCAGACAAAATAGGAAAAGTGGTAAAAATACTTGAAAAGAGTGGGCATGTGAAAAGGTTCAATTTTATTAGTAATTAGGGAGACAAATGCTATCACCACCACCCAATTGACAAAAATGTTAGACAATAGCAAGTGTTGAGCAGATGTAGCAACAGGAACTGATATCCAGTTGGTGGGAGTGTAAATTGCTTTGAGCATGCTATAAAAACAGTTGAGTGTTATTTTGCAAAACTGACACACCTCATGAGCCAGTAGTTCCATTCTCTGACTGCCTCAGAGAAACTCCTGAACACCTGTGGCAGGATCTACACAAATGTGCACAGCTGCATTGTCTAAAAGCCTGGACTGGGCACAGCTCTCATGGTTCTTAGTATTACAGTAGATAAGGTAATTAAACTGACAGCAAGGGGGGATTTAGCTCAGTGTTGCCACTGCCTGCCTTGAAAGTCCAAGGTCGAGTTCAATGCCTGGTATAAAAAAAAACCAAAACAGTGACAGCTGTCATAATCAACAGCTAGAACAACAAATTTTTTTTTTCTTTTCTTTTTTTTTTTTTTTTGCTGTACTGGGGATTGAACTCAGGACCTTGCACTTGTGAGACAGGCAGCAACACCATTGAGCTAAATCCCCAGCCCTAGAACAACAAATCTCAGTACATACTGAGTAAATGAACCAAAACACAAGATCCAGTCATTTTAAGTAAATTCATGCTTAGGGATGTGTGCATAGATGGTAACGCTAGAAAAGGAAGGAAGTGCTTATTAAAAGCTTATAAAAAGTCAAGACAGCCGTAGTGGCGCACGCATATAATCCCAGCACTTGGGAGGCTAAGGGTGCAGGCCTGCCTAAACTACATAGTAAGACTTTGTTTCAAAAAAAGTCAACATAGCCTGTTGTGGTGGCACACACCTATAGTCCCAGTGCTTGGGAGGCTGAGGCAGAAGGATCCCTGTGAGTTCAAGGCCAGCCTGAACTTCATAATGAGACCCTGTCTCAAAAAAAAAAAGGGCAGGGGATTTAGCTCGGTTCCGCTGCCTGCCTCTCCAAGCGCAAGGTCTTGAGTTCGATCCCTGTTACCAAAAAAAAGAAAATCCCACAAAAAAAAGGCAACAGTAGGCCCTGGGGGTATATCTCAGTGGTAAGGCATATGCTTATGTGCAGGGCCCTGGGTTCAAGCGCCGGCACCAAAAACCTATAGTAAGGAAAAAAGTGTCAATAGTAATTATCTTTGGGGAGAACAGAAGAGAGTATGATAATGGAAGAGTTTGGAGGTAGCTTTTCCATTTTTTTTCTAGTCTTAGGCTTTGAACCCAGGGCACTGTTCCACTGAACTACATCCCAGCTCTTTTTAATTTTATTTGGAGATAGGGTCTTGGTAAATCACCAAGGCTGACCTCAAATTTGCAATCCTGCCTCAGATTATAGTAGTTAGGATTATAGGAGTGCACTACCACACCTAGCAGTTCTTGGCCTGTGGGATGGTAATATAGGCATTGACTAATTTTTGTTACATTGAACAGAGAACTAAACATGCAGCTCAGAGGTTGAGTACTTGCCTAGCATGTGTGAGACCCTAGGCCCAACCCCTAGTACTACAAAAGAAAAAAAATCGAACATGTATATTTTGTGCCCTTTCCTGTGTATTAGCTACATTTAAGAATAATAGGATAAAAGGAAAACCGAAAATAAGACTTGGGGATAAAACAGTTACAGAATAGGTTCGATGCTATATTGTCCTCAGTAGGGATGAGAGTTCAGTCAAGGCTGGGTCTGGGTAGTGTCAATGGCCCACGCTGGAAGGGGCACTAGCTGACCACAGCAAGTGGCCTTGGCGAGCTACTACAGAGGTAGTAGCAGCTTCCTCTGCTCCGGTGTCAGGTACACACTCAAGGTATAGAAAAATCCAGCAGCCCAGGCCAGGGAGATGCTGCCCAGGTGCCAGATGACTGGGAAAAGACCAATCAGCACTTTCATACAGGAATTTTTTTTTTTTTTTGAGACAAAGTCTCACTGTGTAGCCCAGGCTAGCCTCAAACTTACAGTGATCCTCCTGCCTCAGACTGCTGAGTGCTGGAGTTACAGGTGTGTGCCACCACACTTGGCTTATACAGGAAGTTTAAAAACCTGAATGAAGACCAAAATCCACTGTGAACAAAATAATTATCAAAGAGAGACAGGACCCAACCACAAAATACCTAATTTAAAAAAAAAGGGATCTTACCTACTATCCCAAAACTAATTCATTTACTTCCCCTTAGTCCTTGCCAGGTGGAACTGGAGGGGAGGCAAAGGGGATAATGATACCTCCCTTGTGTCTGCCCTGGCTGCATGTTGGGAAGAACTCAGGCCTCATGCATAGAAAGAAAGCAAAGGATCTACCACTGAACTACACCGTCAGCTGCCCTAGCTTGGCTTCAGCGAGGTGGTCCCAGGCAGGAACCAGGCTTCTGCCCCATTTCCCTGGGTTCCAGGTCAGAGCCCTGCATGTGCCCCAGGGCAGTGACAGAGGCTGGAGGGAGGAGAAGGTTCTGCACCCCTCACTTGCCTGCCATTGTCCCCAGCTGGTGGCTGGTGTCAAGTACTACCTGACCATGGACTTGGAGAGCACAGCATGCCGGAAGACCAGGGTCTCTGGAGATCACCTGGACCTCACCACCTGTCCCTTGGCCACAGGGGTGGAGCAGGAGGTAAGAGTGATGCCCCATGCCTGGGCCCTGTGCAGAGCCTGAGGTTCTCAGCTTGGCCACTCTGGGCTGGTCTGGCTGGCCAGGCAAAGGCCTGGCTGAACCTGCCCAGCCTTGGTGACTCAACCTCCAGGCCAGTGTGGGGCACAGGGAGGCGAGGCTGTGGCTTCCCCAGAGGTGGAGTTGGCTAGAAAGATCTGGGAGCTGGATCTAGCCTCAGCCATCTGACTCCATGTCCGAGTCGCTCGGGCCAAGGAATGCCCATCTCTGCCCCAGAGCATGGTGGCAGGCAGAGGGCTGGGTACTGGGAGGGGCTGGGCCAGGCTCAGCCCTCCTTGTCCCCCATGCTGTCTCCACAGAAGCTGCGCTGTGACTTTGAGATCCTTGAAGTCCCCTGGAAGAATTCCACTGAGCTTCTGAAGCATAAGTGTATGCAGCAGTAACTGGCCCTCGGGCCAGCAATGGGAGGAACTGCACACAGGGTGGAGGGCACTGCTGGGCCCCAGGCCACATGTGCTGCAATAAACAACCAGCACTGCTTCTTGTATTGGTGTCTCCTGTGTGCTTCACTGCTTCCCCTCCTGGTGCCCACTCCTGCTCCTACTGGCTCCCGGGACACCTCCAGGGCAAGTTCTGCTGTCTCTACCCAGCAAGCCAAACAGCCCAGCATCACACACGGAGAAGCACAAACCTCCAGAGCCCCAAACAGAGCCAGAGCTCCCAACAGTCTCTGAGGTAAGGAGGCAGTGGGAGATTAACTGGCAGGAGAAGGGTGATGTCCCCCACCTTGCCTGGGATAGTGTCTGTGAGTGCTCTGAGGGGAGCCTGTGCCCTGCTACTCTCAGCAGCCAGGAGCAGCTCAGGGGTGCACCACGGGGCTCAGCTCCACTGACTCCAAGGACACTGAGCTCCCAGGCCCACCGCCCATTCCTGAGCCTGCATGTGGCCCAAAGCCAAGTGCCTGTCCTGCAGAGCCCCGGGGCCAGGAGGCCACAAGGCCAGGACAGTGCTTCTTCTCATGTCCTCACTGTGACCCAGGCACCAGGGGGACTCTCCCATGCCTTGTCCTTGGCACAGCCCCTGGCAGGTGCTTGCCTGAGTGAGCAAGCTCAAATCTGCCCACAAGAGGGAGGATTCTCACAGGAGGGTAGGTTTGCTTTAACATCCTTTAAGGAAAACAGAGTTGCCACATTCTTTGCCACTGGCATTTGTGGTTGCAATCCATTCTCCCATGTGCACACACACCACACAAAGTCACAGGTAGATCCAGGCACCACAGAAGAACTACGGAAACCACCACCACCCACCAGTTGGCTATGCAGAAGGCCAGGCAAACAGAGCAGAGGTTCACCCCAGAGACATGACCTGGAGATATGCAGCAGACCCCAAACACCCAGGCTGGTGCCCCACGTGCCACGCCCAGAGGTGTTCCTCAGAGGCAGCAGTGGGTACCCATGCCAGGGACAGGACACAGTAACCATATGTGTTGGGAGCCCTGGATGTTGGCAGAGTCAGGCTGGGGCCAGCAGCACAGGGGTGGCATGAGTAGCACCCTGGGAGCCATATACAACTAGTGAATCTCAAACAATATTGAGCAAATTATGAAAACCATAAAATGATTTGTTTCCACTTTTTTTTTTTGGTACCAGGGATCCAACTCTTATCTGGGCTCCCTTTTTCATCCCACACATGTTTCTGGATCAGTCCCAGGGCAGCAGGAGACAAAGGCCATCTGAATGTACCTTATCTAGAGTGACCTCTCAGAGGCCCTGCCCTAATCTGGTCAGCAGGCCAGAGGAACCAAGACCTGGCATGCCAGAGGAGAAAGGAAACTTGGTGTGGAGGGTAGGAGCCAGGGTATCAGTGTCAACACAGACCCCATCAGGTTAGGCCTGGTCACCCATTGTTTGGGGACATGGGTGGGCCTGAAAGTCAGCAAGTACTCACCCAGTGTTACCCCCACCCAACCCCACCAGAGCTTGACTCCTCAGTCACTCTGGTCAGGAGTGTTCACATCCAGCTTGGAACTTGGGGCGAACCCAATTCATGTACCCAGAGTCCTCATGGTTTCTTCCTGCTGCCCCTGGAAAGGAAGTAGGGGACAGATACCATCCAAGACGCTTTCCTACCTGCCTGGTAGCCACCCAGCTGCTGTGGAAGGTGCACAGTGAGTGCTTTTGGCTGTCAGTCTTCTAGGTTACCCCCTCCCTGCAGAGACCAAGGCTCTCTCTGCCATCTCTCTGGCCCTTGACCGATGGCACCCTTGGAGAGCCACCCTGGCCTCATAGTGATCTGGATGGAGCAAGTTGCTTCACTGCTCTGAGCTCCTATCTCCTGTTAGCCAGTGAAGGTCTGTGAAGCTTCAACCAGCTGCTAAACAAAAAGTCCCTGGCACTGGGAGAGCTCCTCCAGGGATCACTGTTGGGCACAGGTGTCTTTGCAGGGAAGGGATCTTCTGTCTGACTAGAGGCTCAAGGAAGAAGGTTCTGGGGCAGCAAGAAGGCCCTGTAGGGCCTGATCCCAGGGGGAAGGGATGTCAAGGGGCCATCCTAGTAATGAAGGCCCATTTGGCCAAGGGCAAGAGAGGCTACAGGTAACCTGGGTTGGGTGTTAGGCTACAGAAAAACTGGAAGCTGTGCCTGCGGCCTGTGAGGATGGCCATTCACAAGCCCATCCTCGTCTAGTGCTTTTTCTGGAAGCCAGATTGGTCCAGACAGGATGGAGACCAGGCTGCAGGCTCTGCTCCAGAGGAGACCCAGTTCTGGGAACCCCACCTCCAGGACAGGCCATCTGCAGGGAGCACCCCTCTCCATCAGTCAAGGGCCAGAGAGATGGCAGAGAGCCTTGGTCCCTGCAGGGAGGGGGTAACCTAGAAGAAGGCTGACATCCAAAAGCACTCACTGTGCGCCTTCCACAGCAGCTGGGTGGCTACCTGGCAGGGCAGGGAAGGGTCTTAGGTGGTGTCTGTCCCCTACTTCCTTTCCAGAATACCTCCTGTATGTGTGGAGCAACCCAAGGCTCACACATCAGGACACTGCTGTCACATGGGCACCACTCTAGACCCACTTCACCCCCACTTCACCCCTTTCCCTCAGCCCCTTCCCATTTCCTACTTGCAAGGAGAAAACTGCTCTGCAGCCTGCTATGTGGATGAGAGGTCAGTGTGAAGCCCTGGCCCAGCCCTGGCACAGGCCAAGAGCCCACTGACTGTTACTTTCCCTTGCCCCTCCCTTTCTCTCCTAGACACCAAACAAGAGGGACTTCAGACCCATAAACCACCTCAATTCTGTGAGAAGTGACTAGTGGGCGAGAAGTCCTTGGAAACTGCTGGATTGTGGTGGCAAAGACAGCTGCATAGGCACCAAGTTGTGATGGGCAGCGTAGGTGCCAGTGATCTGGGGATCTGTTGGTGGGTGAAATCTGGGACCTTGGCTAGTTATTGAGGGAGCTGTGGCAGTGAGTGGGCTCTGTAACAGAAGAGCAAATCTGGGGGAGCCAGAAGTTCCCTGGCTGCTTGAGGCTGTCTCTGCTATCTCTCCCCCTCCCCTGGGGGGAATTGGGTGCCACTTACTCTACCCCCACCCAGGTTCCCTCAACTCAGGGTCCCCTGCCTGGCCATGGCCTGCTCATCAAGCCAAGCCTGGGCCTGCTTGCTCACAACTGGAGCCTGTCCCTTTAAAACAGACACTGGAGCCGGTAACAAACTTGTAACCAGTCTCCGGAATCCCAGGGAGGTGGCAGTTTGTTTTTCATAGGTGGGTGAAGCGGGTGAGAAAGCCAGCTGGTGCTGACTGGGCAGCAACCATGCTCTGATCTGAGAAACCACTTCCTTGTGGGCCTGGGATTCTAAGAGGTCTAGAACTGGGAACAGGGATATGCTGGATGCCTACTTACAATACTCATCAAAATAAGAGCTACCACCAACTGTTTCCCAGGTACTATAAGTGACTACCTCTTCTAAGCTGCATTTAAGACCCAGGGACGTATGCCCTGGCCCTGCCAGCAATACGTAATTATAAGTACAAAGTATGGAGAACTGTAAAATAATTTCAACAAAATCCAAGCTTTTCCTGTGTTGGCTGTTTTAGAAATATTTATTTGATTCTTTCAAATAAAGAATCTTTTATTGGATTCTTTCCAAAAGTCCCGGGGTCCCTATTTAGCAGGTATCGATAGCTCACTTCCAGGGCATCTGGGGCTGACTTGATCTAGAGCTATCAATATCAGGACAATCTTTTTCTTTTCTTTTCTTTTCTTTTCTTTTCTTTTTGGTACCCGGGATCAAACTCGGGTCCTTGTTCTTGCAAAGCAGGCGAAAACTCTGAGCCAAATCCCCAGCTCAGGACAATCTTTTTCTAAGAACTGCTACTTTTTTTTTTCCCCCAGATGAGGAGACTGAGGCTGTGGTAGGTTGAAGGACTTGTCCAAAGTCACTGAGTCCGTAAGGTGGAAGCTGGTAAGAGACAAGCTCTCCTTCCCATAAGTTGTCATCTTTTGGCACAAATTTGACTTAGACTGCCAAGGCTCAAAAGATAAGATCTCCATTAACTAGTTCCCAGCTCCTGTCCTTGGGCAAATGAGTTCTGTGCTCTTTCTTCCTCTGTAAGAGGAACTCAAGATCCTCTTGCCTCAGCCTCCTGAGCGATGGGATTAGAAGCATGAGCCACCACTCCGGAAACATCACTTGGACTTTAGGAAGCATTGTATATCTGACTCAGGGTGTGTAGCACAGTGGTAGAGCACCTGCCTAGCATGTCCAAGGCAAGGTTGGACTCCAGCACTGCCATATAATTAAATAACTATAGAATAAAAGTACTGTATGAGAATATTGGTTGCCCCCACCCCCATAAGGAGGAAACATTACTAATTCCCATTTTTGCTGGCTGTGAGTTAAACAGCTTGGCTTAGTAACTTTGCCTCCTTACTTGCTGCTTATATAGCACCTGGCCTCTTCTAAGCCCTTTGCCTGGGTCGGGTCACTGAATCCTCACAATACCTATTTTTCAGAAGAGGAAACTGACTTAGACAAAGAAGTAAAAGCAGCAAATAAACATATGAAAAAATGTTCAACATCACTGGTCATTCGAGAGATGCAGATGAAAACAACACTGAGATTCCACCTCACCCCAGAAAGAATGGCTGCTATCAAGAAATCAACCAATAACAAATGCTGGCAGGGATATGGGGAGAAAGGAACCCTTCTCTGTTGTTGGTGGGAGTGTAGACTGGTGCATCCACTGTGGAAATCAGTATGGAGATACCTCAAAGAACTAGGGCTGGGGGTCCCATTTGTCCTAGCTATTCCCCTGCTGAGTATCTTCCCCAAAGAATTAAAAGAATCATACCACAGCGATATAATGTGCACCCATGTTTATAGCGGCACAGTTTTTAATAGCTAAAGCTTGGAAACAGCCCAAGTGCCCATTAACTGGAAACTGGATAAAGAAGATGTGTTTTTTTTTTTAATATAAAATGGAGTACTACTCAGCCATAAAGAACAAGAAACTAGAGACATTTATAGCTAAATGGATGCACATTGAGGCCATACTCTTAAGTGAAATAAATAGGACACACATGTGTAAATACCGAATAGTTTCTCTAGTGTGAGAAACTGAAAGTGTAAATAAGGATTACAATGATTAAAATGAATAATTAATAATTTGAAATAGGAAGAAAAAAATCCAAAGGGGTAGGATGGTGGGAGGGGAAGGGGAAAGGAAAGAAGGGAAAGGAAAAATTATGAGAAAAGGAAAAAATGGAAACAAAGTCTTTGCAAATAGGGAAGGGCGCACAGGGAATGGGGAAAAAATAAGAACCAAGATACATCATGTACAGGTACAAGCACCCAATGATAAATATAAACGTATTGTATACCTAAAATGTACCAATAAAAGGATATAAGCCCCCCCCCAAAAAGAGGAAACTGAGGCAGTGAAAGGTTAAATAACTTCTGGGAGATCAAACAGCCAGAAAATGATGGCGATGAGAGCTCAACCACAGGGGCTGGTGATAATCCACACTGCACAAATATCCCAGTAAACTGTTCTTAGGGTGACACTAGTTGCCGGGGGCGGCCGCTGACCTCACCTCCCGTGGACAACAGGGTGGCACTGCACTTGCAGGTGTTCGCCACCAGCTCGCTCCGCCTCGTTGGCCCTGGGGGCGGGGCAGGTGCGCGGGCGCAGGCGGACTGAGGGCGGCAGGCGGGGCCGCGCAGCCCGTAAAAGCTGCTCAGGCCCGGGCTCCGCACCGACAGCGGCGACCATGGCGCGTCTGCCCCTCTCTCTGGCAATGGGCCTGGCTCTGCTCGCGATCTGCCTCCTGGCGCTGTCTCCCGACGTCCGCGCCCAGCCGCGGGACCGCAGGACTGGAGAACGCAAGAACCTGTCCACCAACGACCCGCAAGTGCAAAGGATGGCGCAGACGGCCGTGACCACCTTCAACAGTGGCAGCAACAGCGTCTACTACTTCCGCGATACCAACATCATCAAGGCGGAGAGACAGGTGCGGCATGCTGGGGAGCTGGGGCAAAGTGGCCAGGTGGGGCTCCAGAGCCCAGAGGGGTTCTGCCCAGAGCCAGGGAAAGGGGATGCCAAAAGAGCACCCCATATTTTCATACAGTGGCCTTTGTAGGGGGGTTGCTGGAATTCAGTGTCAGGTCTTGAATGAGCTAGGCAAGTGCTCTGACTCTCTGGGCTCTGGAGCCCCACCAGGCTACCCTGCCACATAAATAAATAACAATAAAATACATTGCTTCCTTAAAAACCACGTGAATATAGCTAATTGTCTTGGTGAAGGCTTGTAATCCCAGGGCTAGGGAGGCTGAGGCAGAAAGATCCCAAGTTTGAGGACAGCCAGGGCTGTAGAGTGAGTTCAAGCCCAGCCTGGAGGGAGACCCTGTCTCAAAAAGCCAAAAACAAAAGACAACAAACAACAACAAACTCCAAGTGAATTCCAAATTTTATGAAAAAACCAAATACCTAAATTTCAAAGAAAGACAGGATCCAACCCTGTCCAAGGAGTTGCCTTACCTTGCCTGGTCTCTGCCAAATGCCCAGAGAGTGGAAAGGATAGGGCCCCGTGAGATCTCCCTTGTGTCTGCCCTGGCTTGGCTTCAGCAAGGTGGTCCTAGGTGGGTCTCAGCATCCTACAGGAACCAGGCTTCTGCCCCATTTCCCTGGGTTCCAGGTCAGAGCCCTGCATGTGCCCCAGGGCAGTGACAGAGGCTGGAGGGAGGAGAAGGTTCTGCACCCCTCACTTGCCTGCCATTGTCCCCAGCTGGTGGCTGGTGTCAAGTACTACCTGACCATGGACTTGGAGAGCACAGCATGCCGGAAGACCAGGGTCTCTGGAGATCACCTGGACCTCACCACCTGTCCCTTGGCCACAGGGGTGGAGCAGGAGGTAAGAGTGATGCCCCATGCCTGGGCCCTGTGCAGAGCCTGAGGTTCTCAGCTTGGCCACTCTGGGCTGGTCTGGCTGGCCAGGCAAAGGCCTGGCTGAACCTGCCCAGCCTTGGTGACTCAACCTCCAGGCCAGTGTGGGGCACAGGGAGGCGAGGCTGTGGCTTCCCCAGAGGTGGAGTTGGCTAGAAAGATCTGGGAGCTGGATCTAGCCTCAGCCATCTGACTCCATGTCCGAGTCGCTCGGGCCAAGGAATGCCCATCTCTGCCCCAGAGCATGGTGGCAGGCAGAGGGCTGGGTACTGGGAGGGGCTGGGCCAGGCTCAGCCCTCCTTGTCCCCCATGCTGTCTCCACAGAAGCTGCGCTGTGACTTTGAGATCCTTGAAGTCCCCTGGAAGAATTCCACTGAGCTTCTGAAGCATAAGTGTATGCAGCAGTAACTGGCCCTCGGGCCAGCAATGGGAGGAACTGCACACAGGGTGGAGGGCACTGCTGGGCCCCAGGCCACATGTGCTGCAATAAACAACCAGCACTGCTTCTTGTATTGGTGTCTCCTGTGTGCTTCACTGCTTCCCCTCCTGGTGCCCACTCCTGCTCCTACTGGCTCCCGGGACACCTCCAGGGCAAGTTCTGCTGTCTCTACCCAGCAAGCCAAACAGCCCAGCATCACACACGGAGAAGCACAAACCTCCAGAGCCCCAAACAGAGCCAGAGCTCCCAACAGTCTCTGAGGTAAGGAGGCAGTGGGAGATTAACTGGCAGGAGAAGGGTGATGTCCCCCACCTTGCCTGGGATAGTGTCTGTGAGTGCTCTGAGGGGAGCCTGTGCCCTGCTACTCTCAGCAGCCAGGAGCAGCTCAGGGGTGCACCACGGGGCTCAGCTCCACTGACTCCAAGGACACTGAGCTCCCAGGCCCACCGCCCATTCCTGAGCCTGCATGTGGCCCAAAGCCAAGTGCCTGTCCTGCAGAGCCCCGGGGCCAGGAGGCCACAAGGCCAGGACAGTGCTTCTTCTCATGTCCTCACTGTGACCCAGGCACCAGGGGGACTCTCCCATGCCTTGTCCTTGGCACAGCCCCTGGCAGGTGCTTGCCTGAGTGAGCAAGCTCAAATCTGCCCACAAGAGGGAGGATTCTCACAGGAGGGTAGGTTTGCTTTAACATCCTTTAAGGAAAACAGAGTTGCCACATTCTTTGCCACTGGCATTTGTGGTTGCAATCCATTCTCCCATGTGCACACACACCACACAAAGTCACAGGTAGATCCAGGCACCACAGAAGAACTACGGAAACCACCACCACCCACCAGTTGGCTATGCAGAAGGCCAGGCGAACAGAGCAGAGGTTCACCCCAGAGACATGACCTGGAGATATGCAGCAGACCCCAAACACCCAGGCTGGTGCCCCACGTGCCACGCCCAGAGGTGTTCCTCAGAGGCAGCAGTGGGTACCCATGCCAGGGACAGGACACAGTAACCATATGTGTTGGGAGCCCTGGATGTTGGCAGAGTCAGGCTGGGGCCAGCAGCACAGGGGTGGCATGGGGAGCACCTCTTCTGCCGTTCCTTGCTCTCCATGCACCTTCCCTGCCAAGAGAAACTTCACACACACTACCATGCCTTCTGGGCCCCTGCCCAATGCTTGGTCCCTAAGGCCCTGCCTGCTGCCCTCTGTAGGCCACATCTGGGGCTTTTGTTGCTGCCTTGGTAAGTGTTGCCAAATAGGAGGCTCCAGCCAGGGACTAGCAAAGGTAAGTGGCAGGAAATGAATGCTTGTTGAATGAATGTGTGAAATCTTGTGGTGAGGCGTGGCCCAGGGATGTCTTCTTAGTGACTTCTCCACCTGTAGAGTCTGTGCGCAAGTCTCTGATGGCATTTCCTCTGCACCGTCCATTCCTGGGCTCCAAGCCAGCTGGTGCCCTTGGCCATTCCAGGGAGGAGAGAAGCTGCTTGTGTCCTGAGGCCCTGTGAGCTGGCTGCACTGCTGTCTGGTCCAGCCCAGAAATGTGTGTGTGGGGGGGTGGTGGTAAAACCATCACATCCTGCATTGGTCTCCACTCAGGGTGAAATAGTTGTAGCTGGTGGAAGAGTCCCAACCTAGGATGGGGAGTTCTGGGCTCCGACCTGGGCTTGACCATGGCCCAGAGCTAGGTCTGCAGTGCCAGCACAGGCCAGTGACCCACCACCAGCCTAGTGTGGACATGGGGCTCTGGGCACCCTGCCTAGGCTCAGGCTGTAAAGTAAGGGATTTATCTAAGCTCTATACCAGGGAGGCTGGGATCAGCCTTCAGCCTCATTCCCTGTGGCCCTTTCTCAATTGCAGTTGGTTCTTCCAACAGGCCCCTACCGGCACCCACCCCAAGTCAGAAGGACTTAAATATCCTCCCCCCATGCCTCATCCAGGTTCATTAGTCTAACTTCAGGCAAGGAAGGGGTTGGCAATGACCTCTGATCTCTGGGTTCTTTTTTTGTTTTGTTTTGTTGTTTTCAGACAAGCTCTTGCTATGTAGTCCAAACTGGCCTTGAACTCACTGTGTAGCCCAGGCTGGCCTTGAACTTGGGGTGATCCACCTGCCTCAGCTTCCCAAGTGCAGGGATTATAGGCGTGAGCCATAGCTCTTGACCTCTGGGTTCTTGATATCCCTGCTGGATTGGCATCTTTATTTTTTATTTTTTTGGTACCAAGGATTGAACTCAGGACCTTGCACTTTCAAGGCAGGCAGCAGAACCACTGACCTAAATCCCCAGCCCAAGGATTGGCACCTTTATACCAGATGATGAGATCCTGGGTTCTGAACCACATTCTTGGAACTTACTGGTCCCCCAGTCCATGATAACCTGGGCTATTCCTGTCTGTTCTTTTTCACGTGACCCCTGGGCCAGACAGGGATTTCTTCCCTAAGTAGGGTACTGCCCACTGCCCCTCCTCCCCAGCACCGCCAGTTCTTGAGCCCAGCACATTTTTTGTATTACTTCTCTGGCTGCTGCTAATGCATTGTGGGTCCAAGAGGGAATCCAAGAACAGTCTTTTGTGCATGAAACTCATACACAGCTTCCCTTACCCTATGCTTCAGCCCAGCCAGTGAGGACATATGGCCATCTGGTTTGTTTTTTATTTTTTAAATTTTGAGATGGGGTCTTACTAAGTTACTAAGTTGTCCAGGCTGGGCTTGAATTTGCAATCCTCCTGCTTCTGCCTCCCAGAGTGTTGGAATTACAAGGATGCACCCCCATAGCAGTTTCCATTGGGGTTTTAAGACTTTATTGTAATGCCAGGCTGGTAAGGGTCCAAACAATCCAATAGAGTTGGGTACTTGTCCAGACCCACCATGGCAGACAGCTTGGCAGAGGCTCATGTCTACACCTGATGCTGCTCTCCAGGGTCACTTCTTGAAGTCCTCTGGTGGGAAGAGGAGTGTGAATAAGGCAGTGCCAGCCCTTGCCAATACCTTGTGACTGTTACTCGTTGTGACTTCTGGGCAAGGTCTTTTCTCCCTTCTCCTCCTCCCATTCTACCTGGCTCACTTTAAATGTAGTGTCAACAATCTCATCAATGATACGAGCTCCAGAAGAGAACTTTTGCCGGTGGTGCTCCAATCTAGCCACCAGCTTCAGGAATGGGGCCTGGAACTCCCACTGCCTGTGGAGAATGGGGTGCGCAAAGCTGGGCTGGCTGGACTGGTTTGACTTCTGGGTCCCCCAGAGCCCTCCACATGGTTCTTGCCAGTTTCCCCCTGAAACTTACATTACCCAAGACCTGCATTTCCAGTGTGTCTCCTTTTCTACACCTCAAAAAAATCCCCCATGTCTGCCTGAACCACAGACGCTTCTGGCATTTCTCTACCCTCCCACTCGCCCATTCCTCTACTTACCCAGTCATGAACTCATCTGCTTGCCCCTTCATCTGGCCCAAGCCGCTGCATTGACCCATTCAACAATCTTCCCATTCAGTCATCTTCCCGCCCATCCCATCACCCATTCACCTTCACCTGCCTCTCTACCCGCTCACCATTCCCTCCGCCCACCACCCATCATCTACAACTTGACGACACTGCACTGTCTGTCATCCACTAAACTCCCACCCACGCACCCATTTCCTCACCAACACTTTTGTTGACTCCTTGGTGCTTATTACCGCCCCCCCCACACACACACTAGAAAAGACCAGGAAGGTGCTCCAAAGATGGAGAGACAAACAGGAAATAGGCTTACAGAGCCCTTAGAGGGCCAGGGATTTAGCTCAGTGGTGCCGCCGCCTGCCTCACAAGCACAAGATCCGGAGTTCGATACCCGGTACCAAAAAAAAAAAGCCCTTAGATCCAGACAACCAGCAACATCTGTGGTTCTTGCAAACATGGGGTGCTGGCTGGGGATTTAGCTCAGTGGCACTGCACCTGCTTCACAAGCACAAAGTCCTGAGTTCAATCTCCAGTACCCAAAAAAATGGGGTGCTGAGGGACTGCAGGAGGGAAACAGCCAGCACTTCCAGAGGGAGCATTATTGACCCGAGTTGGAACATGGGAGGGTTTGCCAGGCCTGGGCACAGCTCTCAGTGCACCCAAGGGTGAGAACCACAGGGAGCAGAGCTGTGGACCTGGGCAGCTTGGGGAGGCCTCTAGTGAGTGTCAAAGCAAGGAGCTGGAGAGGAGGAGCCATTGTAGGGGTTTAAACTCAGGGAAGGAGGGAAAGCCAAAACTACACTGAAAGACCACTCTTAGCGGAGAGACCAGTGGGGATGGCATCCCCAAGGAAATATGGCAGAGATGCCAAGAGCCAGACCACGGTGGTGACCCGGGCCCTGAAGGATGAGCAGCAGAATGCTCAGGGAGGTGGCATGAGCTGGGACTGGAATTGACTATTCCTGGTCACCTGAGCCTGGCATCAGCATCCAGGCAGAGAAAACAAAGCAGGCAAAGGCCTGGAAGTAGAGACATATGTGTCATGCTTGGGAAGAATGTGGGCAAAGAAAGAGTGGCAGTAGCTGCGATGATATGCGGGAGGCTGGCACACGCCTGACCACGCAGGACCCTGAAGGCCGGCCCACGGAGCTGGAGCTGTTGCGCGGAGCTGAGCCCAGAGGATGACAGCCCTCGGGCCTGGCCCGCATGCTGGTCTGGAGCCAGGCTGGAGGAGCTTGGGTGGGAGCAGCTTCCAGAGAGAAGGATCCCAGGGAAGCCTGGCCTGAGGGCCAGGAAACAGGAGCTCATGTCAAGGACCCACTCCCGACATGAGTCCCATGGAGGCTGACCATCTGGCCACCAGACTGCTACCCAAGCTGTGCCCCCAGCCCTCATCATCCTTCCGCCCAGTGCAGGTCTGTTCAGTCTCCTTGGCCCAGGAGAGGCCCTTAGAGGTGGGACCCCACAGACAGGGATGGAGTCTGCATCCTCTTTGGGTTCCTGGGGTCCGCACTGAGTGTGGCCATGACAAGGGCCAAAATGCTTCTCCAGCAGAGAGAGCGGAGTCCCTGGCCCTGGGGTGGTCTTCGTGGCATGGCAACTCTAGGTGAGTGGGGGTCACTCACGGTCTCTGCATCCCAACTGTAACAGGCAGACGAGCCTTGGCCTGCAGATGTCCAGTGGGCAGCAGAAAGCAGTATGAAGCGTGGCATCTCTGCCTTCATTTCATATCTGTCTCCTTTATTACCTTAAAGCTCTGGGTTAGATCTCTGCTCATCTCTGCCTATAGGCATGTTAATCAGTTATCCACACTGTCTCCCTAAACACTACTAATATAAGCTTGATTAGTGCTAAATCTACCTGGCCTATCTCCTCTCCCTTCAAGACTAAGGACACCAGGACAATAGCAACTGATTCTTAGAATTTGTAGGGACATCCAAATGCCAGTTTTCACAATGTCTAGTTCCAGTCTCCCTAGAGCAATGCCTAGAGGTCTCTAGTCATTGTCCTAAACATGCAGTCACCTGGGATTCCAGGAAAAGCAAACCTTTACAGATCACCAGTGATGAGGTCACCTCCCCAAGAAGTAACAATTATCTCCCAGTGGGAACCCAGGCTGCCCCTCAAATTGGCCGCTCAAGCGATGATGGCTAAGTAATGGCCTGAGATAATGACTGGCCAGACCTTGACTTGACTAGGATTACTGATGCTGCCAGCTCTGCAAACCCCCAACCCTTGCCTTTTTACTGCTTTTTAGAAAACCGCAATGAGTCTGTCAGTCTTGAAGTTCTTTATCTGTCTTCACAGCATGCCCATGCTCATTAAAACTCCATTTCTGCCCTTCATTGCTGCTCATCTCTCTGAGTGGCATTTTGGAACAGGAAGCCAGGTGAGCTTGCTCTGTTGGGACCCCAGGGGGACCTGGAGCTTTTGCCCTGAAGCTCTGGTAATATATTCACCACTTTGGAAGTAATCCTTATCACTCCATCCAGAGAGACAGCAACACACCTTTCCCTCCCTGCCCGCCAGCCCACCACAGCAACCAGACCTCTTGACTTAGACCTGAGGCCTCCCCTCCCTGCCTCCTCACTTCTCAGTCACTGTCCCAAACTTCTTCATGAACTGCATGGTGTCCTCACTCTTCACCTCCTCAGGCTCTGGATGGAAAAAAAGGGGATAAGGGTGGGGTGGGAAAATGCCTGGATTTGGAGGGAGCAGAGGAACCCCACTATCATGAGGTACACAGAGACGTCTTAGGGGACTTAATGGGGTGCTTCTTTGGGCATGGAGGGTATAGTGGTTTTGTTTGTTTATTTTTGTGTCTAGCATTCATTCTTTTTTATTTATTCATCATGATTATTATTATTTGATGGGGTGCTGGGGATGGAACCCAAGACTTTCCACATGCTTGGCAAGTGCTCTACCACTGTGCCATATCCCCATTCTTCTTCTAGTAAAAGTGCCAGTTTGCTGGGTGTGCAGGCCGATGCCTATAATCCCAGCACCAAGACAGGCTGAGGCAAAAGAATTGAAAGTTCAAGTCCTGCCTGGCCAAGTTAGCAAGACTTTGTGAAGAAGGAGAGAGAGAGAGAGAGAGAGAGAGAGAGAGAGAGAGAGAGAGAGAGAGAGAGA